TCAAAAAAGTACTCCAGAGTGTTGTTCAGCATGGGGGTGAGTAGAAAATGAAGGCTAATCATGTTTTGGGTGTACTATTCCTTTAAGGTATAGTGGAGGATGTGCTTTTTCCGGGTGCATCATCAAAATAAGTGGTCCTCCTAACTGTTAATCATTCTGGTGATGTGTTTATGTAAGACCATCCTACGTGCTCTACCCCATTTCCACTCTGACATATAAAAAAAAATGCAAATCTTCTTTTGAAAAGTAAGTTTGTGTGAACGATGAAAAAAAAAACTGTTAAACAATGTGCACGAGGATAAATGGGCTTGCTCTCGCACGCATTTAGTAGGTGATACCTCAGGGTTGTGCATGTGCTATTTTCTTTAAAGTGTAGTGGGCGGTCTTTTCAATAAGTCGAGAACAACCTCCACTATACCTTTTATGCTGCCACAGAAGTAACAGATTTCCTAAAGCACTGGAAAAATCTAAATCTAGATAAGTAATTATTTCTTAAAATAATTGCATTTGTTCTTGAATTTAGAAGGTAAAAGACATTTTGCCAATGAAACAAGAAAATTTACATTTAAAATAAGAAAACACAATTATTTCAAGTGCATTTTATCTAAATACCTTATTCTAAGAGTAAAAATACTTATTCAATTGGCAAATCATCTGATCTACCTACTCAAATTAAGGGTAAATTCACTTAATTTGAGAAATGTTTACTTATTTCTAGATCGTTTTTCCTGTGAGCATTTGTATGTGAAAGTGTTCAAGGAAGAACAAGTTGGAACACGAAATCGATTACAGACGACTGTCCAGGCGGGACACAAAAAAGGGAGCAAAATATGAGTTTTTGTCAGGGATTGGTTGAGTTTTTGAGGACCCAAATGCAGAGGCAAGGAGGCAGAGGTGAGTTCTTGTAGCTTAAAGGAGGAATGAAAGGTAAGAGAGGCAGGAATCCAAAAAACCCAACTTAAAAAATGCAAAACAAACCAGAATCATGGAGACATCATGGAAAACATGAATGAGAAGCCAGGGAAAGAAGAGAAACGAAGAGAAACCAGCACTGAGGAACTGCACAGGGAGAGTTTATATGGGAGACTGAACAAAGACTGGACTAATGAGCTGATTGGGAGCAGGTGTGAAGAGAGGATTCTAGAAGGAAGCTTGGGAAAAGGAGACTACTACAAGAGGGCAACAAAGAAAAACCTAAGAACTCAACAAAATAGGAATTAAACCACTAAAACTAGAAAACATGGAGCAAAGTACAACTGAATACTCAAAAGAAAACTTAACAGAACCAAAAGCGTGACAGGTTTACATCTAAAATCAACACACAGTTGCAACTCGAAATACCTCATTTGTTGGTGGTGATAAGGGAAAGGTGATAAAACAACCACAAACAGTTTGAAGTCAGTAAAGGGTGGAGATTCAGTGATTGCAGGCTTTGGTATTGACTAATAGGCTACATGAAACTTATTTCTTTCTTTGAAGGTATTAAATCAAGCTTGTTTGGATGGGACCATCTGTCCAACCAAGACGTTCATCAGATGCTCCCAAACTGTATGGAAGTGCAGTTACAAGATGAGTCTTTTTCAGCTACACACAGAGTGATGCCCTTTCACCCAAGATTTGATTAAAGTCAAAGAGTTAAAAAAAAAAAACACACACATTGAGGGACTACTTATAGAAATATATTAAAAACACCATCCACCACCAGAACAACACCTGAAATGATGATTGGTTGTTCAGGACTCAATATTTGCCATATATCTGTCAGGACTCCTGTTTTTTGTGTTTCGGTGTTTGTCTCCCTTCATCCACCAGGAGGCGCCTGGTTCTTGTCCGCCTCCTCGTT